GTGCGTTTGTGGGCACCTGCCGAGAACACAAAGGAGAGACGTCACCACCCGGCGCGGCTCTTTCCTCTGGGCTCAGACGCTACCTTCCGGTTTCCCCCCGGCCCCAGCCTGGCCCGCCAGGCACACACAGTGCTGTTCGGGGGCGAGCCTGTTCCTTCGCGTGTTTTTCTTTAATGACAGAATAGCTCTTAATTGAAGCACATCTGCTCATCCCGAGTCTGGGCCCCTCTCTGTCTCGGGGAGTGTCTGTGCTTACCCAGGCTGTTTACAGAGTTACCCTGGAGAAGCAGCCACCTTCCAGCGGGATGGAGTCAGGTCTTGTGACGTAGCGGGTGTGCGGTTCACTCTTGTGGCCCTGCATCCACTCTGGTTGGGCAGTCACTGGTTGCTGTGTGACCCTACTGGCCTATGCTGGTCTGCAGGGACTGTGTGTGTGTGTCTGTCTGCAGGGTCCAGCAGGGGATGGGCCCTGAGGGAAGGCATGTAGGCACGGCCCAGCCGCCTGACACCTGAGCTAGGTGGTGGAACCTGACACAAAGCAAGGGGTGTAGCCACCTGGGGTCTGAGGGATGAGCTGCTGGGGGTTGGAAGTCCAGGAGAGGGGGGTTCAGGGGCCTGTGACCCCTCCCCCCAAGAGAACTAAGGCTCTGCCCTGGCTCCTATGACAGCGCTGAGTCTGCGCTGTATCTCCGAGAAGCAAATCAACCTTCTATTCTACGGCCTGACTGAGAGTCACATCTGGCTGCGGATGGGGGAGCAGAATTAGGGACTCCCAGACGCATTGTCACAGGGTGGAGATCTCCCCGACGCACCGTCACAGGTCTCTATAGCTCCCGGCTCTGGCCCGGCTTATCGACTCCGTTCAATTTCAGGCAGCCCCACATCCAGAGCAACCAGGAGCAGCGTCTGCAGCGACTAACTCACATACACAGACCCCTTCGTGCTGGCCTGGAAGACTGCAACTCCCTACACCGCGCCCGAGCTTTCCCGGATCTTGGGGTTTCACTGCCCCCCTCCCACAGGGCGCGGCCCCCCTTTTCCTGGGCCGGCGTCTGGACTTAAGGACAGAGCTAATCCTAGCGCAACCTCCTATCCGCCCCTCACTGCTCGGCTCCTCCAGGTCTCACCCTTCTAACTCCTCGGCTCCTCCTGCCCCTGGGGCTCCATCCGACTCTTAGCGTGTCAATCCACCTGTTCGTGCCGCTCCAGCCCCGTCCCTACTCTAGTGCTGACCAACCAGTCGATCGGGATCTACGGGACCATCCTGGAGCCTCTGACAGGGGATCCTGCCTGGTTTGGCCAAAAGTCTGTCAAGTGCCAGCGCTTCAGCTGCCCCTCCCTGGGAGCCTACTGCTTGCTGGGCAGGGCAGGGAAAGGAGGGCGCTGATGTCAGGATGCCTCCTCCCACCCTGTATCCTGTCTTCACAGAGCAGAGGGGGGTACAACAGCATTTGGGAGGGAGTTTGCTGGCTGCTTTTGAGAGTGGTGCAGGCCCAGGTCAGGGGTGAGCCTGCCTTACCCCCACTCACCTGAGGTGAGCAGTGTCCAGCTGGAGCCAGCTCCGATCCCCTGCCCCAGTCATGAACCCCCTTCTGCACCCCATGCCCCATCCTCGCCCTGAGCTCCCAAGACCCACACTCCCTTACAGAGCCTGAGCCCCCTCCAGCACCCAAACCTCTGCCCCCGGCTCAGCTCAGCGCCCCTCTCACACTCCAAATCCCCAAGACTAGAGCCTGTGCCCCAACTCTCTGCCCCAGCCTGGTGAAAGGGAGGGAGGACGGGGGAGGGAGGAAGGATGGAGTCAGCAGGGGCGGGTCCTGGGAGAAGAGGCATGAAAGAGGCGGAGCCAGGGGATTTGGGTTTGGGGTAGATCTTGGATTGCACTTAATTCAAAAAGTGATCTCGTGCTTAAAAAGGTTGGAGACCACTGCCCTACTCCCAAGGTTGTCCGACTCACAACGCCGCCCTGGCCGGGAGAACGAGAAACTGGGAGCATCACACCTAGCGCTGGGCAAAAAGGCATCCCGGTAAGCAGCGAAATCCACGGTACGGATCACACGTGCACAGCAGCAGACACCGGCCTCACCTCTGATGGCGTACGCCAGGTAGGAGTTGGACACGGCGATCAGGTTGCCGTAGTAGTATTTCTGCTCCCAGTCATACCGGGCTACTGGCTGGATTTTCACCTGGATGAAGGAAAGCAGCAAAGAGAACCTGAAGCACAGGGAAGGAGACAGACAACACTGCGCTACAGCCACTGACCCAAGGAGCCAGGGGAGGCTCCGGCCGGCAGCGGGGGCGTTTGGGAGCGAGCAGGGGCACCGCAGCCCTGAGTGTAGGAAGAGACTTCCCGCAAAGGTGCTGAAAAGCCCCTGTCCTGCGGGGAGGAATGTCAATTACACCGCAGCGACTGCCAGAGCTGTTCTTCGGTGGCAGGATGCCGAACCGGGGATCCCGTGTAAAAGCGAGAGGGAAGGGTGTTCGGGCAGCATGCGGTCCCTGGGGTGAGGTGCGAAGTAAGGAACCGCGAGGGACCAAGAGAGCCCGGGAGATTGCCTGGCCAGTTCCACGCAGGGGGGCGAAGGGGACCCGCCTACTCCTGCTCTGCCGGCTCCGTCACTGCAGCTCACAGGACGCCATGGGCTCTGGAAAAGCCCCAACGGACAGGCAGTGCGGCAGCGAGACAAGTGGCCGCCGACACACACAACAGTGCCGGCCCCAGCCCCCCAAGAGGGGCCTCTGCCTCCGGGCCCGCCCACAGCTGCTACATTCCACTGGCCAGCAGGGGAGGTGGGAGGGCGGGACCGGGGCGCGCCACGGGGGCTGCACAGATCCCGCAAGGACGGGGTACCTGGGTCAGACACGCTCCCCTTTACCTTGTTGCTCCCTCTGGCCTTACTGGTGATGCTCGAGTCACTGCTGGCCACAATCTCCACATCTTTTGCCGAGATCACCATGCAGGTGGAGCTGTCGTCTCCGGAGAGGCAGCTTTTAAGGGAAAGAAAGAGCTCGAATCACACCCCCGGCCTCTCTGGGACACAGGGCGGGGAACCCCGGCGCGGGATTGCCACTAGCCTTTTCAGTGCAGGACTCAGACCTGCTTCGGGGCATCTTCCAGGGGCCACGCAGCAGATCAGTCCCCGAGAGGGCGGCTCTTTGGCAGACTCGAGCATAGAGGCCTGGCTGGCTCCGCCTCGAGTCCCCCGGGGAGCTCTCTCCTCGCCCCGCTACCCCCCTCCTGTTTCAGAGGACAGATTGACTCTGCGCCACGCTCGCGCGGCCGCTGGCCCAAGGCCAACCCAGCGCCTCGCCCGGGCAGCGAGCCCCGCTGCTAGGCAATTCCCCCAGCAACAGCTCAGAAACAAGCAACGTGCCGAAGAAAAGCCCCAGGCCAGGCCGGGCCGAGGAGGCGGGGTACCGGGCTGCTCCCAGGAGCACTGCTGGAGCGGCTCGGATGTCGCTCCCGGCGAGGCGCGAAAGGGGAATCCCCTGGGCTCCACTCTGCATCGCGCCCGGCTGCCTCACAGACACACCTAATTAGTG